CGCGCTATCCGGTATCAGAAGCAAGTAATAATAACAAAATAAATAAACCGTAAATAAAAACAAAATATAAACTTAAATCATTGAACAATAATATCACAGATCCATTCTAAATCCAGTGTCTTCAGCCGGGGAGATCCAAGGGGTAGTCCTGACCAGTGTTGTTGTGTATTGTGTATGCATGTTTGTCAATGTATGTGTTCAGGTGTGTGCATATGTGTTTACAGAGAATATCAAAACGGTGATAGGTGTTTTTGTCTCGTACAAAATCGTGTAGGTGTATAATGTTGTGGGGGTTGAGCTGTAGTCTTTTTTGTGTGTATATGGGGCAGTGTATCAGAAGGTGTGGTATAGTCTGTGGGTCCTCAGAGCAAGTGCAGGTCTCTATATCCGATAAACGGAATCGGTATAGATACGCTCTGAAGTGCCCATGAGCGGTCAAAAATTGGGTGTTAAAGAAGTTAGGATAGATATGCTTAGGAATAGGGAAAGAAAGAAAAAAAATTCTAAAATTGTCATCGGTACCCATGTGAGCCTGTTGCAAGGCGGTAAGCCTAATCTCATTTGTTGCTTTGGCCAGTGTGACTCCTGGTGACAACTCGCGTAGACCTTTTCCGACCTGGTACCTCAGCTGTCTGGCTCTCATATGTGCTACTATTGGCTCGACTCCAGAAAGCACAGTGACACAGCTTTGAGAGACAGTCCTGTATGCCCTGACTGCGTTTCGTAAAATGGTGTGCTGAAACGATTTCAGTTTCTTTTTGTGCGTCCCCAGAGCAATGTCCAGCCAGATCTCACTGCCATATGCAATGACCGGTCTGAGGAGACCTTTGTACAGGTTCTTTCTTTTCACGGTGTTCATCCCGTACGTGTTCTTGCAGAAGTTTAGCAGGCAGTTCCGCAAAGATCCCACCTTTCTCAGGACAGTCTCAACATGCGGGTTAAAGTTCAGTTTGCCTTTATTTCTATGAGATGAGAACGTTAACCCGAGGACTTTTACTACGCTGACCACTTCAATCCTCCGTCCTCCGAGTCTTATTGGCAATGGCAGGGTCTCTCGGTGAAAGTTGATAATGTTGGTTTTTTTAGCATTGATGTTTACTTGTGATTCTATTGACCACCTTTTCACTACATCCAGAGATGACTGGATTTTGTCTGCCAATCCTGCAGCTGTCACATCAGCGCACACTACGCTGATGTCATCGGCATATGCGACTACTGTTGTGCCGGCCGAGAAAGATGAAAACAACAGAGGGTTTATCAGGATACTCCACAAGATTGGTGAGAGTGGGTTTCCTTGAGGACAGCTTTTGGTGATTGACTTAGAGGAGTTGGCGCCGTTGAAAGTGAATGTCACCAATCGGTCGTTTAGGTAACTGCTGATGATGTGAATCAGGTGTGTTGGATAATCATAGTTGATCATATTGTTGACGATGTCACTCCACCATGCATTGTCAAATAAAATCGTAAAATCAATCGAGAGCAATGCCACCAGTCTGTCCTTTCTGCCGCCCAGCATGCTAGTGATGATGGTTGATAGAGCTGTTGCTGTAGACCTGCCTTTCGTGAAGCCGTGCTGACACTGGCTGATGATCTGCCTGTCCTCTAGGTGTGCCACTAGTCTGTTGTTGATCACCTTTTCCAGCAGTTTGCTAATCGATGATATCAGCGAGATTGGCCGGTAACTGTCTGCCACATGGTAGTCTGATTTGCCTGGTTTTGAAAAAATGACCAATTGAGCTCGTTTCCAGCAGCTGGGGAAGTGTCCCATTTTCAGGCAGTGAATGAAGAGATGAGCTAATGGTACTGCGATAATCTCTTGGCTTTTTTTCAGCATTGTGTTGGTGATGTGGTCGGGCCTTGGAGCCTTTTTTGAACTAGTCTGCATAATGAGTCTGGTGACCTCATCAGGCGAGACTGAGGCAGTCTGGTCAGTAAGTGGCGGCAAAAGTGGCTGTGTCGGAACTGGGTCATCCGGAAAAAGACCGTTCAGCAGATTGGTTGCAATCTCTGGGTACTGATTAAGAGGAGAATCATCCAGAATCGGCAGAGCATTAATTTTCGGATTAGTGATCGCTTTTATAAGTTTGTAGGTCGATCCCCAGCAGTTGTTCGTCTTGCTGTCCTCCAGAAATCTCCTCCAGCTTTATTTTTGTTTTTTGGCAAGCGTTTGCAAATCTGTTCCTAAACCTTTTGTAGACATTGTATTTCTGGCTCCGAGTCTCTAGGTCACGCTCGTGGGCAAAGTCGTTCCTCGTGTTTCTGACTGTCATCCTTAGCTGCTCTAATCCATTGTCCCACCAAGGTGACATGCGTGCGTGTGTCCTAGGTTTTTTCACCGGCATGCTGATGTATGCTGTTTCTATCATCGAACTGGTGAACTTCTCAACACATCTGTCAACGTCCATCAGTGAAACCGCTGCTTCTATTAGGTGAAAAAAATGTATTCAATAATCGTTGCTCGTTTTCAAAAAATCAGTTTAAATAGTAAACTTTTAAGTTTACTAGAAAAAGAGAAGGGCAAAATAAACGAAGCCACTGAGCCTCTGGTGAACAGGTAGAGGCACCAGAACGCACTGGCACTCGCTCTCACTGGTAATCACTGGCAGTGAGACGAGACGGAAGGGATGCGGAAGGCTTTCAGCTGAAACAGATTGCAACGCTAACTTTGACGAGAGGAAAAGAGAACGCATTGAACTTTTGATCTTTTTAAAACGTATAGCGAACGTTGGAGAGAAAAGTTGCCAAGCGCGCTGGCAACCAACGTCAGAGAGGCAGTTAAATAAAACGAAAGGGATGCGGAAGGCTTTCGGCGGACAAACAAAATGCATCATGCGTCATCGACTTTAAACTGCAGCAGAACGAGAACCTGATGTGCAAAAAACAGGCAAAAGGCAGCGTAGGCAAGATGGAGGGCAAAAATGGCGAGGAATGCGTGTACTTACTTAGTGATGCCAATGGGAGCCAATTGGAGGTGATTGGAGGTGATCGGAGGCTATTGGGGTGATCAGAGGTGACGATAGAGAGATAAAAAGAGCTCAGATGAGATAAAGTGCAGTAATGGTTTGCCTGACTATCTGGCAGATAGCGAGGTATTTGCGTACTTACATTGTTCACTCTGTGCTGCCAGTGTAAAGTCAATTGGAGGTGATAGAGGAGAAACGATAGCTACCAGAGGTGATCAGAGGTGATTAGAGGTGATCAGGCGTAATGAGAGGAGCACTGGGTGGTGGTGATGGTGGTGGTGGTGGTCAGAGGGTGATTTAAAGATTTGGTTTGAGAACGTCCGGTTGATAACTGCTATGCCCTCCCTATCCAAGAGCAGAGACTGACGCTGGCTGAATGCTACCTGATGGAAAGCTAATTTAACGAGGCCCACCCTTAAATAGTAGATGGCCCAGTTCAGCGGCAGTCTGACCACCTGAGATTTTGTTTCTGACAGTGGCCAGAAGTACTCCCGAATGTTGACCGTCCTCGCCCTCACCTGTTCACTTATAACCCATCTGAAGATTATTGCCAAGTTTGACTTGACAGGTAAAAGGGGGCAACCAGCAGGTGCACATTGCTCTGCTGCAACGCCCCTTTTTTAGTTGACTTTTGTCACCTCAATGGAGTTTATCGTTCCGTATACTAATAGGGAAAAATGTGTGCGTGTCGCTTTTCACCGGCTTTTTGGGTCAATAATGCTTAACCACAAACATCACCGATGATTTCCAGCTGATATCTTTCTATCTTCCCAAACATTTGTTTGAGTTTATTTTTTTGTTTGCTATTATTGCAAAGCGCGTTATTGATCTAAAAATATGCACTATGTCAACATCAAAAATAAAAAAAGTTAATTTGATTAATTATAATGTTTTTGTTAGCTTTCTCTTTCAGCATGACATCGTTTCACCTGACACTTTTTCTTAAAAAACACTCTTCACTGTGGAATGTGCACTGTAATGTCTGTTTTTCTCGGTTATTACCTGTTTTGTTGTATTGCAGTGCATTCCTCTCTCCCTCAATGTCATTGTCATCATCACAACTATAATCTATTTTTAATTGTTTTTTCTCTCTTCATTTGTGTTTACAAACTTAGTCATCTGTTAAGCAGCTAAACTGAACAACAATTGTTGTTGCCGGGTTATAAAACTGGCCGGTCATCATTGAGTGTCTGATGGTAGTTTACTGATTATGTGATTTTATTTGATTTGCTAATGTTGAAAACTTTGTGAAAAAACACAAAGCAAATGAGTGTTGATATAAATTATGCGCCGGAAAATAATTTTATTTTTAACAGCAATTAAAGTTTCCAATTATTTAATCATTGCTGATTTTACAAAGGAACACTTTTTGACATTAACTTCAATTTACTTTCAAAAAATGAACATTTTTAAGTTTTTCTTCAGCAATATTCATTTTACGTTTGCTCACTTTAACTTTGTAACTTTGTTCTCTACTCTATTACTTCTTCAAATCAGTTCTTCTGTCTACTCTCAGTCGAGTACCGAGCCATCTCGGGCGGACTGTGCCGCTCGTGAGACGCAAATAGTGGGCGCCTGCAACGGCAGCAAACCAACCACCGAACTGATCGTCGACCACTCCCGAACCAACTGTTGCCAGGGAAAAGCCTACTACAAATGTCTGAAGAAGTTGGTGGCCACTGGTGTGCAGTGTGAGATGTTCACTCGAGACCGCATTGACGAGTACAATGAGATACTAGACAAGTACGACTGTGACGACGTCAAAAACTGCTGAAAAAACCGAAAAGAAGCCACTGACTGAAAATGACAGACAGATATTCACAATTGTTTTCCAGACACACTGCTCTGCAACCTGCTTTATTTTCATGCACTGTATAGCAATCACTTTGTCAGTTTACATTTATTTTTTAAAACTTTTGTTGCAAACACTGCTAAGTTCAATCATAACCAACTACTCTTTTTACCACTATTTTGTATTATTTGAAACTCGTTTATTTATGATATTGACAAAAATAGCGCCAAAATGTGAAAAATAAATCATTTGCTAATCATTTTAAGGTGTTTAACCGATCGTTGGTGAAGGTAGAAGCTTGAACTGCTGTTGAAAGTCATTTTACAAGGACTGCAAAAGTAGGGACGTTCTTCGGTGCATTTTGGAGTGATTTGAAGATTTTTGTGATTAAAAATGTGCATTTTGCAGATTTTTGAATCTGTAAAAACCAGGCTGCATTGTGGACACGGAAACATGACATTGGAAACAATGCAAATTGGCTGGTTTTTCGTCTTTTGTGCAGTGGCCATTTCCATTTCCTGGTCAGATTTTTGACTTTCAACTACAAAGCCATCGTCACTTTGGTTATTTTCACGGGTTTTGCTGGAGTTATTGCCACCATTGCCCTCATCCATTTGATGCAATTGAAGTTGATCAAGTTGCAAATTTTTTGCCTGCTCTTGAGCGGCCTTCACTTGCAACGCCTGTTTCTGGTCCTGCAGATGCTTTTTTTGGTGCTCCGAGTAGCTTTGCTTGTCTGGTGAAAGGTGTGGACATTCCGGGCAGCAAAAATAGAGAATACGTTCTCGCGGTTTGCTTCGAACACTTTTTTCAACCTCCTTTAAATCGGTCATTAGGGATTCAAACTCCTGTGCAACATCAAAGACGGTGCTTTTCACTGTGTCTAAGGAGTGTTTTTCGTTTTCCTGATGCTTTTTCAGCTTTTGAGCACTTGGGAATTTGTCATTGCATGAAATGTTCTGCTGGTGGTGGTAGCTGTTTTTGGGAGAGTTCTTTTTGGAGCCGTTGGTGGTGATGGTCAACTGCGAAGCGTTTGAACTGCTCAATTGCTGTTGTGGCTGGTTCTGAAAAATCGGGTGGTTTGCTGTCTTATCACCAGTGTTTTCGATGGTGGTTGAAACCTCAACACCGGAACCGCTCTGCCCAGTCTGTTCAGTTGCAGCGCTGCCCAACTTTTCCAGTCCATGTGCCGTTTTGGGATGTCGTTCAAGGGTTTTGTTAACGGCTGAGTTTGTATAATGTTTGGGCAGTGGATAACGGATAGTGTTTGAGTCAAACATCACACTTGTTGCCAGTGGCTGTTCAGTCGCCCCAGTGTTGCTGTGGTGTTCTGCAATTTAAAGCATTCAAAACATTAGAAGTTGGTTAAAAATCAGCAAAATTTGGACAAAAGATTGGCGGTGCACCAGTTACTTACTTGCTACAATAACAGCAGCAGCAACAACGTCACTATCACTCACTGTCAGTGTTGACTTTGTATTAGCCGGGCCGCTATTGTTGGTCTCCATTGCCTGACTTGATTGACGCCAAAATTCCCGCTGGCTTTTTGGTCTTAGTAGTGGTAACTAGGAAATCAGGCAATTAGGCACAGTTAACACCACAAAATGAATAACGTCAAAAAGCTAGGATCGTTTTGAAATACAAAACTTCCACTGTTATTGATTTCACTAGTTTGAATGTGTCACTAGTGAAGAGAAGCTGTTAAGAAAACTTTTGACAGGTGGCTGTTTGCGGACAATAGTTGAATGTTTTCAGCCTATTGTCGAAAAAACAAAAATTTTGAGTAAGGATCCAACAACAGGAGAAAAGGACTCAAGGAGGGACTCACTTGAAACAGCGTGTGGTCTGTCAAAACAGCGTGGATGCCTTTTCTTTGCGATTTGAGGGAGAGTGTTTACTGAAAGAGAGAGTGAAGGCAGACGTAGCGGCAACAGCAGCAGCAGTGGCAGCGGCGACAACGTTACAACTACTCACCAGTAGCTGTGCCGCTAACTTACCAACTACTGACACTCTCGGATATGCTGTTACTCATTTGGACCGGTCAGTCAGCTGGCCTTTCTATCAGTAGCAGCAGTGGCACTGACATTCTGCTGGTCACTTTTTGCCATTTTTGTTGTTTAAAAAAATTTAAAACTTTGACTTTCCTGTCTTTTGTGCAAAAGTCGTAAAAATGCCAGTTTTAGTATTTATTAGGCAGACATTTTATTGCAAAACCTTTTCATCGCAACTCTTTGTAGTAATAGGTTGATTGCCTGAGGTCTAGTGAGGGCCTAGTGCTTTTCATCCTGTTTGATGGCATACAAAAAAGCTCAACTTATGTTTCAAAAACATCCATTTTAAAAAACAAAACAAAAATTGGGTTTTTCTAATCAAAATTTTTTTAAAAATAAAATACAAGCAAAATGGCAAAAAACGGCGCACAGGTCATAAGTAAAAGAACAATTAGATTATGTTAGGTAAACTAAAGGATACAGCAAACACAAGTGAATACAAACAATACAAACATCTAAAATATTTTAATGCACACAAATAATATACAAATGCTAGTTAAGTAGACAAATGGTTATCATAGAGTATTGCTCCTTTTTTTATTTTCATTGGGCTGATATTGAACAGAGCACAAATAAGGCTACAGTGGAATGCGAAAAACAACCGTATTGTTGTTGTCCTTGTAGGAAAATCCAAAAAGCCACAACTCATCATCCTTTGAACCATCATCCTCACAGGCGACCAATCGAACGGGAACCACCGCCTCGGGCATTTTTTCAGGTTTGCCGAGGAAGAACATTTTTGGCTGAAAAGGCAAAAATCCACCTTTGCGACACTTAGCCACATCAACTAAAAGCATGTAAAAGTACTGGTCGATGCGACATTTTTTTGTTGTCTGATGAACCATTTGATTGATGCGGTAGAAAAGACAGTAAACGGTAGAGCGAATGAAGGCAAAAAGCACCGGCCAGTCAAATTCGGTTTTTTCAGCGAAGACAGAAGAGAACTCGCAATGGGAGTTCAAAAGTTTTTTTAGTGAAAATTTTCTGTTTTTGCTGATCATCATCATCATCAGCATTTTCTGCTAACGGTACCTTTACCTCAGCAAGATAGTAGTACTGAATGGTCGACTGCTGGTTGGAAATGTTCTCCACCTCGTGTCCCTTGTACATGAGGTAAAATCGGCCCTTCCAGTAAAAGTTAAGGAGGATATGAGGTGACAGCTGCATTTGGGTAGTAGGACAGAGGAGAACTTCGGCAGTGGGTGGCAGCTTGCTTAGGTAATAGTAGCGATATTTTGAAACAGCACTTTCAGAAGTGTCTTTTGTTTTAGAAAAACTCGATTGTTTTATTGATTGCACACGTATAACAGCCCATTTACTTCCCACCGTGTCCTTTGTATTTTCAGCATTTTCAAGGAAAGAGGTTTTCAGCAGATCAATCGGTAGAACAGCTGTACTATCGATTGGCTCTTTTAGTCAGTGACACTTTTTTCCAAAGCCCATTTATCACCTTCAAAGGCGAACGGACGCTTGTTAGTAGAAAAGCGGAACTTTCCAGCCGCTGGAATGGTCACTTCAACCACTGACAAGTCCGACAAGTGGTAAAGAAGTGAAGCTGAAGATTCAAATGAGGGATATGGCACAAAGGAGGATGAGCCCTCAGTTAGGCCGCACGACTCAGAAATGGGAACCCATTTTGTTCTGGCAGTCGAGTAGTCAAGTTCAATACTTTTTAGGTAGTGCGGATTCGCATAGGTGTGAATGGCCGGTTTACCGTTTTTAAGGTTTTTCGCTTTTTTCTCCTCATAGTCATCCTCCTTCTCCTCCTTTTTTTCACTGGTTTCCTTTTCAATGAACTCCATCCAGTAGGCCCAAGTGTTGGTTGCCTCTGGCAGAGGATGATGCTGTTGCTGAGTGTGCTGGTGTTGATGAGCTGCTTCTGCAAGTGGCTAATGATCTCAGTGGCTGATCTGATAAGAGGAAAAAAGTAAACAAAAATGATCAGTAGTCAGTGGTGGTGGTAAGTGGCAAAATGCGTGCAGAAACAACTGTAGAAAAACATCAAACACGAGGGAGAACAGGAAAAAGAAAAAAAGTAAATGGGTTTCAAGGCTAGGAATAGTGTCCATTTTCTCGGGCGACTGCTGGAGCATCACTTTCAATGCAACAAGTGGTAATAACTCACCCAAAACTTGAAACAGTAAAGGAAAAAGATGTTTTTGTCGTCGGGCAGGAGTAGAGGGTCGCTGCAATTGCTGCGGTCTTGACGATGACAACGAAAATGAAAGAATTTGATCGAAAGAAAAACTAAGGAGCTGTGTGCGCGAGGGGTCCTGACTGGTGCGATGGCCACCGATCAGAAACACTGAATGAAGAACAGAGAGAAAGAGAGAGAGAAAGGTAAAGAAAAAGAAATAAGGCGTGACCTGTGGCAGTGAAACCTGCACAGGTCTGCTCATCAGTGCACCAGGTGCATTGATTGCCAATTGGAGGTGAGTTGAACAATACTGCCCCCGCCAACTGAAAGAACTGCTCTACGAGCCCAGTGCACTCACACTCATATGCACACCGGTAATTAGAGTAGGGAAAGGAAAGAGTGCTAGTGGTGGTGGTGTGCTAGATAAACCAAAGAAAGGTCTGTTTCTGGCAATGCTGCTGCTGTTGTTGTCTTCATTTTTTCTTACATGGCTAATAAGTTAACTACTGTGAGGGTGTTTGCATTCCTGCAAATAGTTTGATCTACTTTACCTTTGACCAGACAGCGTCTCACTTTCGCCATCTCAATGCCCAATTCTCTCTGCCCTCACCACTGTCTGGCTTTCACTATCTGCAGAAAACAAAGCACACACAAACAGATTTGAGGCCGGTTACTTAAAAGACAATCACCAACAGGGTCCCAGGTCATTAACAGTGTGGGTGAGCAGGGTGTCAATCTACTAGTACTGCCAAGTAAATCGCCTACTACTAGTTCATTAACCCCAAAAGAGCTTTCTAAGAAAAGTCAGCAAGTTTCTCGACTTAAACTGAAAACGTATTGGGAGAAAGAAACGGCAACCGGGGGCACTGCTTTCAGCATTGCCAAACTCTGTGTGTGTGTGTTCTAACTCTTCTTCTCCCACTCTCCGCCTATTGCTTGCCTGTTTCCTCAGTTGTTGCTATGAAGTTGTCTCACTGGAGATCAGAACCATCACCCCTACAGTTGGCAAAAGCACAGGGTTGCTAACCGGTGTGAGCAGCAAACAGCTAATAAATTGGAGTTGTTAGGGTGATCATCTTCACTTAGACTTCCTCGCTTTTTGTCAGTTGAAAAAGGTTTCCAAAGACTAATTAGTCTGACCCAAATTTCTAGGTAAGTGAGGAACATTCTGAGGTGATTAGCACTGAGTTCAATGACCCCTCATTCCCTGTGACACGATAGATTACAGTGTTTTTTACCTGAGACGTGTTTGTAGATGAAATAAAGAGTTCAGAAACTGTAGATTTTCACTCATAAGTTTGCTGTGAACTGACTTGTGGAACTGCTGACCTCTTTAAGCTGTCAACCAAAAACTGTGTGTGTGTTTCTTGTGACAATTTGTCAAACAGAACGACCAAAATGCATGACCCAAATCTTAACTGAATTGAATGACGGTAAACCAAAAAGGATTCAACTAAAACAAAAGATATAACCACAGTAGAACGCGCCGGCAATGAACCAATAAGGCCAGATTCAATTTGTTTAAAAGTGGGCTTTTCTGCGCCATTTACAAAGAATGCGTTTCAATGAGTATCAATGGGGGCCGTATATAATGTTTATTTGTGATTTATCTCAGGAACTACACAACAGATTAAGTGATGTAAAAAGTGAAAATGATGTTCAAAACTTAATCTAAACTTTTGTGATTAAATATTTTAATAAAATGTGATAAAAATACAGTACACAAAAGGTAGAATGTTTAGCATGTCATTCTAATATTTTTAACTAGTTCTAACTCAAATATATGAAGGAAGAAAACCATTAGTTAACCAGGCTAACTATGAATCACTATCAGTTATGCGCTAAATTCTGATCAGTAAGCAATAGTTCAGTAGGAGAATGGAAAAGTACACTGGACGTGTACTTAATGATCATGAAAAGAGAAAAGAAAGAAAGCTGTGGTTATGTAACCGCCTTAGCAACACTAAGAAATTATCACTTGAAAGGATAATCAAGCATCATATGACATACTCTTCACGACCACTTGTACCCGAACGTCGAGATCATCCGAGAAGTTCGATGATTATCAACCAAGTTGGCTGAGAAGTCGTGAGAAAGCAACCCTTGGACTTCTGTCAGGTCACCTTCACCAAACAACCACCCTCTCTCTATTAATTTAGTATAAAAGGACTGGACAGTCTCTAGCAGAAACCACCGACCACTAACCAGACAACCAACCGAAACCAACGACTAGAAAGTCACCGCCACCTACCCGATTCACCTGAGAACCCACTCAGTCATCAACTCTCGTTGCTAGAGGAGCATCACCTTTGACCCTCTG